TGCCACCAGGACTAGCAAGCCATTCTGTTCGGGTAAAATTTGTTGTTGTTACATAATCTTCATGAATGCGTAAAATCTCGCCGGTCATATTTTAATTTTGCAACTTAAAGGGAAACTTAACGTATACGTGCCGTTAAATAATCTTATCTCGAGCTTTGTGGCTTTTTTGTTGTTACTGGGACGGCATTGTCCATAACTCCCTGTATATCCTGTGTAGATAGCTCACCGAATGTGCTTTTTTTCATCCATTTTTTTTGTCGACGAAACTTCGCTTCACGCGAAAAAGCTCATGCCGAGCGACATTTGCCGCTTTCATTTCCATATAACGTCAAATTCAGGTATAATGGCTGGTAACCGAGATCCAGTGAACCAATCAGAAAGCTAGAATTGCATTATCCGAGGCTGAGAATTTTTTAGGGTTATCTGGGAGCAATTTAGTATAAAATATCAATGTACTCGTAACTTGACGTTTCCACGGTAACCGTATTTTGACAGGCATACTATTCAAATGTGGAATTTGTTGTGTTGATTAACTCATTATTTAGTTCCCTTACCCGAAGGCTGTTGCTATCCTTTGTTTTAAACTTGAACGTCGATAGCACATTGTTAGAATTTGTCAGACTGGCAGTTGGTCCACGAAAACGCGTCTCAAGAACTTGTTTGCCATTTACGACATAGATTCTTACTGTGTACGATTTAGATTCTGGGAGGCCTTCAACTTCTAGACGAGTCAGCTTCACGGTGTACTCAAGTGCTTTCAGTCCAGTGTACTCCACCACTTCAGCTTGGGTACTAGTTGAGAGCGGAGGCTCCCCACGGAACATGGCGCCCCTCACCGCAAATTCCTGACCAATTTCTTTCCATTTCTGTCGCGTTGTTTCATAAGACGTTGATAGCTTTGAGCCAGGCCGGCGGTCGTTCACAGAATCATTGTGGTTAAGCACCTTTCCTAGGATTTCAGTGGTGTCCTTCTGGTATATCAGCGGATGTACCTGATGCGCATGCCAAATGAGGTCAAAGTCGTAGCATGGTACAAAGAACAGATCTGGATTTTGTTGTTTGAGCACAAGGTGCTGTTTGTATCTCTCCAATGCTCTAGTCAAGAACTTCTTGTCTCCATAATGAGGTAAAGAGACCTGATAGTAAAATACCCTCTGCCGACCGCAGGCCGCTGTGATGTCATACTCAATTCGCGACTCAAAATCAGGCACATGACCAATATAAGTCGTCAGGTCAACTTCAAAAGGTTCGCTAGGATAAAACTTCTTCCATAAGATCCTGGCTCTTTTGAGTCCTCTTATACGTTGTTCTCCGACTAGGATCTTATGATCCACCAGCGTTGAGACAACTTCAATGCAGTCCTTTTCGTAGCTGATGGGCGACAACATGTGTACATGCCACACCCAGGCAATGTCGAGAGGTGCTGCGATGTCCTCAGTGACGGACGACTGAACAAGCAGTGGCAACCAGAACAGTTCATATCTAAAGGTGTTACAAACACGGCACGTCAGACCGAGAGAGACAGAATCATTCTGCAAACCTGAATTGTATGCATGTATAGAGACATCATTTAGACGAACAATTGCAATGCTTGATAATTTTTAAGACAAACGGTGTTACTGAGAGGAGTTTTGTAAGATGCCCATGTTGCAGGCAGGCATGGTGATCCAATGTTTAAACGGGAAACCTCCGCAAGCTAAAGGTTATTTTAGGTTCAAAACTGTTTAGCTTGATTACCCGTCATATCGAGTACAGATCTGTAATCAAGTTGAGTTCAAGGGTACCGTTACGTGAATCAGTGAAGGACAAGTGGTGCAGAAATCACCGCAGGGCTACGATCGCAAGCAGCCTACGATTGGATTGCAGTTTGATCACAACAAAACGTGCATGCAAAACGTGCGCCGACCTTAAAAATATGCAATGATTGGACTTGAAATTTAAATCATTTGCCGAACTTGGAGTAGACATACCTCCTGATTGCATTCCGAACGTGTGGTCCAGCATACAGGCGTGGATGGTCATCAACGAGCTGTAAGAACTGTCTGTGTTCAAGGGCAGCTTCCACCAGATCGATGCTAAATTGGACCGTCTTCTGGGCCATCCCGATTTCCTTCGATTTATATCACTGAATAGGAAATCAACAATGGCATGAGTTTGGTTTCCGCTGCTGACGGTCATGGAAAAGTTGATATAGACATGATGATAGATGGGAATGCAGCCATAACACTACTGGAAAAACAGACCTGAAAAAAGTTTCAGGCTTTGAACGGGATTCGAACCCACGACCAGAGCAAAGGTCGTGGGTTCGAATCCCGTTCAAAGCCTGAAATTTTTTTCAAGTCTGTTTTTCAAGGTTGTGGTATGGCTGCCGCATTCGCATCTATCATCATGTCTACATTTCATGCTTTTAATTAATTGCTACTGTTGGACATCTATTATTATGAAAAGGTGCTATAATGGACAGACGTGCAATTTTTCCGAAAGGTTTTGCAGGGTACTATCTTCAAATTTCTATTTCTGTCGTACTGATTTTCAGTCAAAGATTTGCGGTCCTCTGGAAACATCGTTTACTAGAGTTCGCGTACCTTTGCTCATGTTGTCTTACTGTACCTGGTAATTTCTTACTATGCTTGTTTAAAGACGATTACAGCTCTATATTGATAGAACACTGTTAATGACCATGTAACAAAGTGTAAACATGACATACAGCCCCCAATCAGTGTTGAAATTCAGAAAGCTATCTCGCACACACTAATTCTAAATATTAGGTCCTGTATTCAGTCGTTCCAGACAATTGTTTTTGCTGCGTCATTTTTGTGCTCAAACACATGCTTTACGTTATCTTGCGAAGCTACAAGACATGAAAGAAGATAAGTTTCACCACTAAAGCCTGGGTTTACCAGCGAAAAACTACCAGTCTAGGCTCTTCTAGACTTCTGTACAAAAGCTGACGGGCACACCAAAGAGGCGTCCTTTACTGGGTTCCAAAGCTCAATGTTTAGGAAACAACTGTGGTTGTTTCCTAGTGATGACAGTGACTTATTCAGCCGCTCAACAGAACCTCGCTGGAAAATTTCTTTGAGACATCAAGCAAATCAAATTGGAATAGTAAGTAATAAACAATGAGATCGTACCATTAAATTTACGTCCTTCCTTGAGACACAGTCCCGACAAATTGCCATAGGAACTTTTTCCAAGGTTCAGAGAGAACACATTGCTGGCATCTGAGAAAGAGCCCTTAAAATTAGCATGAGTGTGCAAATTCAGAAAGCTATCGCGCACACTCATTCATAATATTGGCCACTGTATTCAGTCGTTCCAGTCAATTGCTTTTGTTGCGTCATTTTCTGAGCTCAACACGTGCATTACGGTAACTTGCCAAGCGACTAGACATAGAGTAGTTTCAACACAAAAGCTTGTTTTCGAGCCTGTTCTCAAGCCCAACGTTTCCTAGTCACCATGTGATTTATTGAACTATATAGTATAACCTTGAGATCAGGTCCTCTAAACTGCCGTGTTGAAATTCAGTAAGATATCGCGCTTACTCATTCTTTACATTTGCTGGCGAATTCAGCCGTTCCAGTCAATTGTTTTTGCTGCGTCACTTTATGTGCTCAAACACATTTAGTCCTTTACGGTAACTTGCAAAGCTATTACGTGCTAACAAAGGCGCGCAGTGTAGTCGATAAGAAACGGGTACTTCGTTTGAAAATTTACATCACGTAATACTTCGCTCAGTTGCTTTCACGTGTAGCTATAGATCAATTGTGACCGACAGAACGCGGAGCAGGCTAGGAGCTGCTTCATCGGTCCGTGCGAGAAACTAGAAATACAGCTAATAAATAAAAGTGCCAAGAGACTTCTTTCCAAAAACACACTATGCAAAGACACACACCAAGGAGGCGTGCCAAGACAACGCCGTGCTGCCGTGTAACTTAACCCCGAGAAACAGCCCCTAAAATGCCATCAGGGTTGAAATTCAGAAAGCTGTCGCGCTGTTTCATTCTTAATATTGGCTGGAGTATTCAGTCGTTCCAGTCAATTGTTTTTGTTGCATTATTTTTTGAGCTCAAACACCTACTTAACGGTAGCTTTCGAAGCTACTAGACGTCAAAGTTGTTTCAACGCTAAATACTGACTTTACCGCATCCTGCGTGAGCTACTTGAATGAATGATTTTTCCCTACTTCGCTTTATAGGGTTTATAGGGTTTATAATATACGTGATTCAGTTATTTCTCGAATTTGCATTCATCTTTTCACGCCAGATTGCACCTAATTTCAAATGTTTCTATGATTTCCATAGCTCGCATGCTAACAAACATGACTGCAAAGCTTGAATTTCTTTTGGGCGCTCAGTGTAGTCGATAACTAGACGTTCATTCTCGTCCCCAGAGACCGCGCTCCTTTTGGTCAGCACCAAGAATCACGACCTCTGGGTAGGTCCGGTGAGATTCGGGGTCTGATTGGCTTTGCAAACACAATTGAATGAGACCGGAACCAATCAGTTTTGTCAGAACTGACTCTGAGCATGCGCAAAGTGACGGGAAGTCTGTGAATCGCGGACTTTCGGTGTTGGACCGGCCAGAGGTCGTGATTCTTGGTGCTGACCAAAAGGAGCGCGGCCTCTGGGGACGAGAATGCTGGACGTTCTAAGAGCGTTTACCCTGGCTTTGTAACGTAATATCAAGTTCTACTTTACAACTAAGCTTATTGAACACAGTAAAAACGAATAAAAGAATCAGTATATTCCAACACAGGAGTTACTCTTAGATATTTACTATTTGAGCCGATCCTTTTTACCCAATTGCTTGTTGTTTGCCTCATCTTCAAAGTTCTGTTAACGACGAGTCTTGATTTTTTTTAAACATCTGAGGTGTTCGTCTCAGCATCAAAGTTTGTTCTTAAATCAGTAGTCATAGTTTTTTCTCAGTGTTTTCGTAGTTTGAACTCGCACATGGCTGATTTGTTATCTCTTGAGAACAACCCTAAACTTTGCTTATTTGACAGGCTTTCAAGCAATATACTTCGTGGACTCACCCGATCCGAAAACGATCCACATCTTTGTATATAAGATGAACGTACAAGGCGTGATTCTTTACAAAACGTTCTTCACAAACCCGGGGGGTACTCCCAGAAAAATTGGGTCGGGGTGCGCGGCCTGCTTCCCGTAACCCTTCCCTATTTATGACCAAAATCTGCGATTTTTCCTGCCCTATTTATGTCCTAACCATGTTCAAATGGCTTCCGACAAGCCTTTTAACTACCACTCTGGTCATTCTGGGTTGTGGCTGCTCTTGAACCATATTATTTTGAGCCAAACATACTCTAGACTCCGAAATGATAACATTGAAGTTAGTGAAGTGGATAATCGCTTCGAAAAAATAGATTTTCCTGATCTTATGAAGGATGCCAAGTCAGTTGCAGGATTTTCTCCTTCCCGCCAATTTCGAGTCGGACGAAAAGACGTCGCACAAGCAAGGCCTGGCTGCCAGGACAGTTTCAAAATGGCGGCCTCCGAAGTCCCTTCTATCAAGACGAATTTCTGCAGGATAGCGGGCACTTCAGAGGCTGAAACTTCGGTGAGCGGAAAAGTTGAATGTTAACTTGCTGTGGGCGAAGACAACAAAAGTAAGCTTTAAGGAGTGACCTTCTCCTTTAAGGACGTTTGAGCTAATTGTTTCTACGCATCCTTACTGGGAACGCAAATCCACACGCCACGTCATGTTTGAGAGCGCGCGTTAAGTAATAAAATGAACAATGATAGGGCAGATGGCCATTGCTATAGCTTTGCCTGGATGTAACGATCTTGGACGTTTGGTGAGCCCTACTTTTTTTCCAGAAACAGATTTTATTTACAATTACCTCCACATTGTCCAAAAATGAACAAAACATCAATGTGGGAAGTTAAAAAAAAATTCAAGATTTCTGTCCACGGGATATCGAATCCTGCCATCTTGCGGTTGCAAGGCGCGTTGAACTATGGTCGCTAAATGTGAACTTGTTTTTTAAGGAACCTCACCAGTTGACTAAATTCACTTAATAGGTCCACTTAAACAATATTTGGTAGAGAACATTTCATTTCAAAGATCTAATTGCAATATTTTGGGGCTTACAGACACTGTGGCCTTATTCGCTAAGGAAGCCCGATTTTTTCAGATTTAGGGTGTTCTTCCGGGCATGTTCTCTCCAAAACGAAGTCGGTGACCCCCCCTTAATNTTTTTTTTTTTTTTTTTTTTTTTTTTTTGACATTTCTGACATAACTAACGAGTCATCTTACAGTGGTAAAAGTCTCAGAAAAAAATTAATGTTGGAAAATTTTCGCGCGAACCGAGTCCTTAAGAGAACAACTATGGTAACGATGACAGTGACTTGTTGAACCTTCAAAAGAAATATGCTTGAAAAGTTCTTCGAGGGATCATGCAAATCGCAATCACATGGTTTATGTAGCAAACAATGTGATCCTACCCGTAATTTGATGTCTTTCCTTGACACACTGTTCCAACGAGTGCATGCTACTACCGCGATGCACGCTGGTATTTGTCATGCTTGTGGGAACATTGAAGTAACCACTTTTCGATCAAATACCGTTGCTTTGAGAGTCTTTCGATGGAAATCTACCTTTAACATGCCGGCTTTTGGTGTAAGAAAGTAATAATTTCCACGCAAAGTAGCGTTTAGAGTTGAAAACTTCAGTTGGGTTTGGATTTCTCGACGGATTTGCATGCAGGAAGAAGATGGACTGACTACGATCATAATCATTTTAAAATCAGAATATAATCATGTTAGCCACTGAAAACAAATACCTGCTGTCGCCTGAAGTCGAACTAAGGGTAAATTGTTGGTTTTTTAGTAAAGCATGATAATAACGCATGATATCCGAGTGGTAAATGTAAGCTAAATATTAATTTAAGCCTGGTTAATTTATTTCTTCAAGTTATTGCGAAAATATTCTCCTTGCAATACACATTCGCTTTCATGTTCCCATTATGTTTCTTTTTTGTTCAGAAAAAAGCGCTCTTAAGTTATGGAGGAAAAATGTCACTACGTGCATTTCTTTTCCACCCACTCACAAGAGGTCACTTAGTAAAGGCTTCAACAAAGGTAAAGCACTTAGGTTACCTTGAATTAACTCTTCAAAAAAAAAAAAAACACTTCTGAGGCGAATACTAGAGAATTTAACTCATGGCTACACGTGAGAGGTTTTCCAGATATTTTGGAAAATAAAGTACCTTCAGAGGTG